TATTCTCTGGATATTTGGCCAAGTGCCAAGTGGGATGAGAAGGGTTTTACTAGATCAGAGAGAGAGAGAGGATGGCCATCGTGTGTCAGGTGACGCCACGCCGGCACGATATCACTAATTGCGAAAAACCAGCTCGCAAACATCGATGCCGCAACGACTTTTTACTCGGCTTGAAAGCGTATTTCGTTACACACACACACATGTTCAAATCTCTCTCCCTTTTTCCGATCGCCGATAACGATAGGCGTTGACCGATGTACCCGTCGACAATACACCGCGCGTTGGCTAACTTCCGCCAACGGAGAGAGAGAGAACACAGACCGATAAGTAATGTAGCATGGAGGCTACAATAAAAAAAAAGAACGAACGATGGGGTTTTTGTTTTTTAAAACGATCGTTTCGTCTCGCACATGGTGTCGCGCACAATAATGTGAGTTTTGAAAAAAAAACCACCCACCAGCAAACTTGGACTTTTTATGAGACATTTTAATGTATCGATATTAATCTTTAAAAAACGAGCTTTTAGAGGCTTTTAGTTTGACGAGATTGATTTTTATAGAGGAATCCATAAAAAAAATGTGTTCGCAAATGGCAAGACATCCTTTTTACATTATGGAATTGAAAACACACATGTATGTATGCATTTCAAAATAAACTGTTATTTTGATTAATTTTTATTTTTCAAAATTAGTGTTCTCTGATGTTGGCTGGGCTTCCAAACTAGTAATAAAAAAATTTTGTAATAAAATAACCTAATCGTGTTTTGATAAATGAAAATAACTCAAAAATTCACCGAAGAAAACTTGATTTTATATTTATTCTAATAAAATAAAAAAAAATTAAGATTACCTGTCTTTGTTAGAATTAATTTTTTTATAATTTTGACACAAAATAATTTTTAATTAATCAAATAAGCTCAGACGTTCACCAATAAATCATTATTTTATATTTATTTAATTCTAATAGAATTTTAAAACGAAAATTAGTTGTCTTTTGTAAAAATTATTTTTGTGATTTAAAAATAATTCTTAATTAATCATAATTAGCTCAGACGTTCACCATTAAAAATTTTTATCACTACAAGCGTCAAGAGAAGAATGACAAACTCTTAACTGACAACGCAGCGTCTCTAGCGGACGCTTGGTTAACTAAACACTGTACTGTCGATAACTGATTTAACTCATCACTTTTTGTGTCAAAACCAAATATTCTTTTGAAAAAAGTAATAAAGATTTTTGAGTCAATAACTATTTTCAATAAACTATATATAGATAGTAATCAAACATTTTTTACTCTCAAGAGACTGAAAAGTCGGTTACAAAAAAAAACTTTTGTTTTGAAAACTTTTTATTTAAAACTATAACCCAGTAGTAGAGATTCACTGAGATGGGAAAATTGCGAAAACAACAAAGTATCAGAATTACAAAATACATATAATATTCTTGTTTGATGTGAATTTTCACATGAATCCTAAGAGAAATAACAAATCTCATTGACAGCAAAAAGAGTTTTTCGCTTTTGAAAACAGCTTTATATGGTCAGCACATAAATATATGGAAAATGTTTATGACGTGAAATTTTGTAGTTTATAAAGGCTCTCTCACAACATTTGAATCCAATGTTTTGGGATGCTTTGAGAACAAATTGTATTGCAAAGCAACTTTATCGTCTCTATACCACTAGTATTATAATAATAATATACAGAAAAACATATCTGAAATTCAAAATTTACAATATCAATGCTTATAAAATGAGCTGTAGTCCTTCTAAATAAAAAGGAAACACTATCTCTCTTTTTACTCGTTACATTTCGACATATAGAATGATAATATCTTCTACTAGATGAAAGTATATCACATTTCCGTTTGCCAGGTGTGAAACGTGAATTATCCATGGTTGCATAAATTATTGTTTTGTTCTAGTTCGCGACCTGTATTCTTCATTTAACAGACAGATGGAAACGACACAGAACGTAAATTGTGAAACTAGAATTTTTTTTTTATAGAAGCGCAAACAAAACGCGTCCCCATTCTCTTTTAGCGAATGTGTGTGTGTTTTTTTTTCCTACTCGAGTTTTCGCGCTTGGTACACTTTTTGATTTTGCATATATGATATCAAGTATGTCAGCAGTGGGATTTATTAGAATATTTTTCTTTTTTACTTCTCGGGGAACTTTTGGTTTTTTTTTTACTATCAGAACAACGCAAAATCAATGAATAACGGTTTTGAAAAGAAGGTTGAAAAGCCAATCAGAGAGGTCAGTTAAAAAAAAACTTGAAGGACGATTAATGGGACAAAGTCAAAGGGAGTCTTTGATTTTTACAGCGTATTTTTTTTTGGTTCAAAAGAGAGAAGGGATTTTAAAAATGATGATTGAAAGAGAGATTTCAAAAATAGAATAATTTTTCATTGAGAAATAAATGAGATCGAGAAAATTTTCTTTTAAAGCATCGATATATATATATACTTAGGTCCTATTGAAATTGATAATTAAATATCTTGATTTACTAAACTAAGGGAAAATAAAGCAACAAGCTGTAATTCAAGTTTCGTCGACTTTGGCCTTAGAGTTAGAACAGAAACTGCGGATCGTTGAGCAAACACAAAAGCTCACCACTTAAGATAAACAACGAGGCTGTAAGCTGCAATGTACCTTTAGGCAATACAACATCTGAAAGGCGTATTTTAGGTCCGGTCCTACGACCTACGAGTGAAATTTGAATTACATGCACTTTAACTTTCACTACAATGCTTTGACAAATATTAAGAAACTTTTCTGAAAGCCTGAGAAAAAGTACTTATTTTTCTCCACAGCAGTAATGAAAAAATTACTCTAGCTACTAAGGAAATTTTTGTTTTTGAATAAGAAAAAAAGTATGTATATTTTCCAGTATGAAAAATAATTTACTTTTCCCACTATAGTGAAAATATTGTACTTTCTCCACTAGTGAGAAAATAATATACTTTTCCCACTAGTGAGGAAATAATCTACTTTTCCTACTAGTGTGAAAATAGACTACTTTATTCACTAGTGAAAAAATAATCTACTTTTCGTACTAGTGTGATAATAATATACTTTCTCAACTAGTGAGAAAATAATATATTTTTTCCACTAGTGAAGAAATAATCTACTTTTCCTACTAGTGTGAAAATAAACTACTTTATTCACTAGTGAGAAAATAATCTACTTTTCATACTAGTGTAATAATAATGTACTTTCTCAACTAGGGAGAAAATAATATATTTTTCCCACTAGTGAGAAAATAATATACTTTCCCCACTAGTGTGAAAATAATCTATTTTTTGCACTAGTACGAAAATAATTTAAATTGTACGTAACTTAAAGAGGCAAATTAATTAACAATTCATAATTGAATAAAATAAAACAAATTTCTTTTCAGCAGTACGATAATATTTTTTTTATTTTTTTAAAAAAGCGTAAAAAATTGAATATATGAAAATTGTGTCATATAGAGAACTAAAATTTATCATTATTAAATATTCATTAATGTCTCAAAATAAAGTTTTCGCGTTACTCTCAGCTGGTGAATTTCAAACAGAGAATGAAAATTTAATATTGACAATCTGCGTGCGCGCCTGCGGTTACAGCAAATTATAATAGACTGGTTTGTGAAACAAAGTAAATATCGGGGATCACACACAGTATTTTCGTTCATCATTTTTCATATATGCTTCTCTCTCTCTCTCTCTCTCTGCTTTTTTTTATTTAACTTCATTTTCCGAATGTAAAATTTAAAACGTGCATTATTCAAAAGCACACATATATGAATTAAATATAATTCGTCGTTTGAAAAGTAAAAAAAAAAAAAAAAGAAAAAAATATAATGACGACTATAATATGCCAATGCAAAACAGAAAAAGAAGGTATAATTTATTTTTTAAATATGACTTTAAAATTACATGCGTGACACAGACTATTATATGCGAATTATTGCGATTCCTCTGTATATCAAAGATATGAATGCAAATGAAGGTATTTTCACAGTTTTTAATTCCTGACCTCTTTTGCCATTGATATTCTTACTGCATAGAATGAGCGAAAGAGAGAAAAAAAAAGAGAGAGAGAGAGAGAGAGAACTTGTCACACAAAAAGTTTCTACCCTTAATCGTGCAAAGTAAACGAGATTTCGTTTTGAAAAATAGGTTGGCGATGAAATGATAGTTTTTAAGGCTTGCGGAAATTCCACTATATCGTTGACAATTCCGAGGAAGTTTGCGGTGCAACTCGCTGTATAATTTAGAGTTGTATTTCATAGCTAAAAGGCATGTGCAATCGCGTGTTCCGCTTCTTTATGACAAAAGTTACAAATATGTGTTTAAAATAACAAAGGGACACCTTCGAAACAAGCTAATATACATATGAGAAAGTATACTAAAAATAATACTGATATTTAGTTTAAAAAAAAAATTAAATCAAGAAAAAAGCGCTAACAGTCTACATAAATCCTACTTTAGGCCTACTATAATCCTACTTACATCTTACATTTATCTTACTTTGATTAATAGTGGAATTTTTATAGATCAATTTCTGAGCTACTATGTTTTATCAGAACATGATTAAATTATAGTTAAAGTTAAAAAAAATTCTTGGGTGAATTTCTGAGCTAATACGATTCATCAAGAGATAATTAAATTATAGTTAAAAGTTTTAAAAAAAAATTTTGGATGAATTTATGAGCCGCTATAATGATAATAATTTTTCCAAACATAATTAGATTTTAGTTACAGTTAAAAAAATGTTCTTGGGTGAATTTCTGAGCTATAGTGGATCCTACTTTGACCTTAAATTGAATCTAATTCGACTTTACTTAGAACTTATTTGGGCCTACATTAAAGATACTTTTGTAAATTTTATAGTGATTTAAATTTTTAAAATAAAACTATTTCTTTTTTTTGTACATTTCCTAAATTATTAGGTATTATTAGAATTATATTTAATTATTTTACAATATTATAAATATTCCATAATATGTACTCACCTATTATGATTTAAAGTAGAATGATCAGCAATTGTTCTGTAACAGAAAACAAGAAAAATTGTAATTAAACAAATAAAAAATTTTTATGAGTAAATAACATTTTTAATTTTTTATATATAAAAAGCTAATAGATTAATGTATTATAACATACTGTATTTCATAAATTTTAAAAGAATTTTAAATATTTTATAATTTAGAGGTAGTCAATTCAAAGGCAGAACTTGACGAGGTCAGTCAAAGGTCAAAGCAGAGATTAATCAAAAGTCAACTTAAACTCAATACATAGGGTCAATTTCAACTCCATCAAGCACCTACAGTGTAAACTGTATGCGCTAACACACTCTAATCATCAAATACTGATACTGAGTGAATTTTTTTCAAATGTTATAAAGTATATAATTATTTCAAATAATTATTTAATTTAATATTTTATTTTGTTGTATTATTATTATTTTAAAACTTAAAAAATTTATTAACAATATAATGTTTACAGTTAAATAACATAAATAAGGTAATAAATATTTTAGAGACGTATTATAATTAATAATAATTAAATGTTAATAAAATTAATTTAACAATATTATAATGTGTTACAATTGTTTACAATAATTTATTATAACAATAGAAATCTACGACAATGAAATGTTAAAACAATAATGCAATTAATAAAAATCAAATGTTCATAAAAATTAAATAAAATGATCAAAATAAAATGTTTATGAAAAACATAATTTGAATAAATAACAATTAATAATACCAGTTTACCGTCACTTAAAAAATTATGTACCGTGAAGATTGGATTTTCGTAAAAAATTTACCACTACACCACTTTGTAAATTTACAAATTTCACTACTACACTTGTTATCTTGACGAACATAAAGATAAGACTAACTACGCCACATGAAAAATGTCTGCGCATCAAAGATGGCAACGACTGTCACTGATCGAAACTGCGCTTGCACTACTGTAAATCTCTCATTGGTACAAAAAGGCGCTCTTTTTCAAATGATCTGAAAGAAGAAAATCTATAAAAAAACAATAAAAAAAAATTTTTTAATTAATAATAATTATAATAATAATTTAATTTAATATAAGAAAATCTTAAAAAACAAAAGAAAATTTTAATTGTTAAATTAATTTTCATCAATTATTTTAATATTATTATTAACTGCGAATAATAATATTTTTTTCTGCCATCAATAAAATGAATGAAAAAAGATTTTTTTTTTAAAGTACTTTAAAAGCTATTGTCCTCTAAAAGCAAGGCAAATAGTCTGCACCTGTTGGGTGCCTCTTTTCATTTCATCCCTAAATTCAAACTAGCAAAGAGACCATAATTGGGCCTTTGCGTGCTGCCTGACTAATTGGACGCGGTTAGATTGGTAAACGTAATCGAAGCGTGTAGCACGATTGCCCTACACTAAAAACTTGGCCAATCTCCTCGGTCTTCCGATTTCATGGATCGCGCGCTTTCGTATTGATACACATTCACCACTCACTCCATCTCTAAAATGGCCAAATGTATCGTGTAATTTTGAATTTAATTAGAAAATTTAGTTCTCGAAATTGCAATATTACACGAACGTTTGTGTTTGAAAATTTATTAACCTACATATGTGAGAAAAAAAAACCCCAACAATTTTATCTCATCGATCAAACATTTCAGCGGAATATAAAAAAGATTTTTATTTTTTAAAAATAAATTTTACGTAACCAAAAAATATTACGTAATTCATATATGTGTGGATTAAAATTATTATTTTGCTGTCATTTGCAGCTTTGCATTTAGCACAGGTTACGATTTAATTTATTCATATTTTTTGTAAAAAGAAATAAATTTAAGTTAGACAATCGTATTTTTTTAACTATCATATATATATATATATATATATATATATATATTTTGTATTTAAAAAAATTAAATTTATTTTGTCCGAATATTATTTTGTAATAAAATACTTGATGAATAAAAGTAGCTCAGAAATTTACCAATAAAAACTTTAAGGAATAGAAAAATATAATAAAAAAATGGTTATTGAAATTGGGGGAGAAATATACTAGAAAATAGAAAAACAGTTTTAAAGTAGGAATTTAAAAAAGTTATAAAAATTTGGAAATACAAAATAAGTAAATTAAAAATTAAATAGCATGCATTATAAGACGTTAATTAAAAAAAATTTACTAAAATGTAAATAAAAAAATATACTTTATATTTTTCAATAAAATAACTTAAAAATGTTTCGATGAATCAAAGTAGCTCAGAAATTCACCAATAAATATTTTTGACTGTATAATGTAATCATTGTCACACATTTAACCCCTTCAACGGATTAATCAAGAATGGTTAACTCACGTTACAAACTGTATCAACTGATCAAGTCACGATCGCAGCGCCACTAGTGGTCACATGTGTTACTATATATATTTAATTATGGAAGAAAAGAAAAATTTGTATATTTTTTATTTTTTTAAAAACTTTCTTTTTTGTATATAGAAAAAAGGGTACGTCAACTCTTTTTTTTCTTACACCCACGAATATTGTTCTGTCGCTAGAGGGACAACTTAAAGAAGTTTCAACGATTCTCCAAGTTTTTGTTGTACATATCTAAATCGCTTGTAACTTCCACTTTCATTTGGCAATTTTCATTGCTTGGTTTTTGGCATCCAAAATATCGTTGAATGAGGCAAAAGGGACGAATTCGCATCCCTTCTAGGCTAGGAAATGCAACTTCCATTTTCTGCTTTTCCCTCCTGAATTTCACTCACACACACACACACACACACACCCTCATACTCTGATTGCAAACTTTAAGAAAGCTTTCATTGCAAAGTTTTATCTCATGCTAGGATCGATTCCACTCTTTCTAAGGGTTAGGCGGACATTGAATTTTCAGTTATGAAACTTTTCGAAAGTGGAAACAGCGCGGTATCCTAATGAAATCGGGATTAAAGTGGTTTGTTATTGTGAGAATCGTCAAAATGAGTTTCTACTTTTTATCTAAAATTAAATGAGATAATGTTAAATCAAATGAAGCCGCTAAAAAATCACTTGCAAAACGTTGACGAATCTCTTGTTTAAATTGAAATTTCGTTTTTGTAAGAAAAGATAAAATATTTTTTAAAAATTTTTTATATAAAATTCAAAGGATCGCGTTTCAATAATGAAAAGAATTAATTTTTATTGTCGAGTGATTTTAATGACTCATTTGTTTTGGAAAATTGATGGGGTTAATTTTTTTTAAGTGTCACTAAACATGAATCTATTAATATTAACGATGATTGTATTGTTGAATATGGTATCGGGGAAAATTTATAATACCATCCGCCTCGGTCTGCCTCGGCTCATAACTAGTAATTTTATGGATCATACGAGCGTTATATAGGAATTATACAGCCATCACATGAGACAGTTTATGTGTACCGTTGCTCTTCATCCAATGACAGGACAACAGTTTTGTTTGCGACTGAAAGGCACATATATATATATATATATATATATTGTATATTATAACCGCAAAAGCAGGATCTGCCATGCTAATAATCGTTATTCCAAAAGACAGGCGTTAAGGGAATGATCCCTTAGTAACAAAACAATTTAGTGTGGACATTGAACGACAATTTACTCGACAATTTAATGAATAACATATTTATCCTAATTAAATTCTAGAGAGATGACAAATTGACACTGCTCACGGGTGTTAAAATTAAATAAAAAATATTTTTAACTATGACAAATTATCTTTAATAAAAATGCTTCTTTATAATTTTAATGCAAAAACCCACACACATAATAGACAGGAAATCTGAATGCAACTGGACAGGCTGTAAAATTATTCCTTCAATAAATCACATTTTCCAAAAACAATGCTCACACACCTTTATTGAAAATCAATTAATTGAAAAAGGATTTGTCGAGTACCATTTTGCTGGCAAAGCAAATACATTATATATTCTATTCAATGGAGGAGAAAAAAAAATTTTTTTTTTCGTTTAGCAATTTTCATTACAATAAATATTGTGAACATTAATCCGAATTTGAAAGAGAGAAAATTTTGCAGTTGACATTTTTTTTATCGTTGATTTTATTTTTATTCAATATTTGTAAAAATTAATATAGCAGAGATGGAATATATATATATATATAGACGTTATTGAGAAAACATATTTGCTTTTGTAAAAAATTCATCATCTGTTCGAATAGTAGAGAAAAAAAATTGAAATTATTTCAACCAATATACTGCTATTACAAATATTTGTTATTTTTTTGTTTTGTTTTAATACAGTTTGAAAATGTATAACTCAATTTCTCACAATAGGTGTAAAAATATTTTTCAAATATTTTTTTTTAAAAAACTTTTTCAAAAAATATTGTCAAACATCAGCAAACACTAAAATTAATAAGTAAGTTTTTTTAAATAAGAAATTATTTACAGTCAACAGTATTTAATTTCAATTTCTTTTGTTTTACAACCTACAGTCTAATATGTGGCGTGAGTCGACCATTCTTGATTTGGTCGTTGAAGGGGTTAAATGTGTGTCAATGATCCTTGTCTCAAGACATAATAAGATTATAGTTGCAGTTAAAAAAAATTCATAGATGAATTTCTGAGCTATGATTCATTAAGACATAATTAGATAATAATCACAGTTAAAAAATGTTCTTGGGTGAATTTCTGAGCTACTACTATTCATCAAAACATGATTTGATTGTAGTTATATCTAAAAAAAAAAAATTCGTCAACAATATCTTGAAAAATGGTTCTTTTGAACCCATATAGATCTATATACTTTTTCTACTTTCACACACATTTATGGCAAAATGTAATGGATGAAAAATTTAAAGAATGTGACATTCATTTATCGTTGGCAGTGGGTGGAAAGAATAGGTCACGAGAACATTGAAGTTAGAGGATCATCCATCCTGGGGAAAGTTTTGTTGTCACACGTGTACGTGCCAAATGTAAGATTCGCCGTTTTGATATAATGTACCGACGCGTTCAGCTTTAAGGGGATGACACCTCGTTAGAGTGAAGTC